TTTTGGTTTTGAGTGTATTAGGGTTTTCAAATTTGAATTCGTGGGTATATCGCTGGAGATTTTTGGTGCTAGCATTAACTCGAGGTAAACATGATTTATTTATTTGTAGAAATAAATTTATTGTTGGAAAAATATGATTAATATGATTAATTCGAATGTGTTGGAAAAATATTAATTTTTTTTTTTTTAATTTATTGTTTTGTTTTGATTTTTTTTTTTTTTTTTTATCAAAACAATAAATTAATTAATTAAAAATATTAATTTATTGTTTTGATTTTGAGTGTATCAGGGTTTCCAAATTTCCAATTTATGGTGTACTGTGTGAAAGGTTTCCCTCTTGCTGCAACCTTTGAGAGAGATTTTTGGTTCTAGTAATCGTATACTAATTTCAGATTAGTAAGTTATTTGCTTAAATTTTAATTAATTGTTTTTTAGAATTACATAAATTATTTGTTTGATTATGTGTTCGTAAAGGAAAAAAAATATACTGTATTCACGAGTACTTCTGTTTTTTTGGTTATTTATAGAATAATAGTTAAATTGTTAGTGTTGGTAAATGTGTTAGATAAAAAAAAAATTGGTTCTTAATTTAAATTCTTTGAATTTTTTTGGAACTTATGATAGAGATTTTCAAAATTGGGATGGAAATTTTATAATTTTACAAATTCAGAAATTTTAGAAAGAAAATATTTGGATTTTTTTTTGAAAATATGAAAATAATATAAAATTAATAATATCAAATCCGAATAATAGTAAAAAAAATCGAATAATAATAGAAACACTAAAAAAAAAAAAAAAATTCGCAATTATTTAAAATTGTGGGGTTTAAATATTTAGAAATAATTAAGATATTTCCCTTTTCCTTAGATATTTAAAAATCTACGAAAATACTAATATTTTTTTTTAAATATTTGAAAGTTATTGAAAATTATGATTAACTATTGGAAATAATAATAATACTCCGATATATTACCATTTAGGGTATCAATGGCGACGTCGGCTAGAGATACTGTCAAAGTTTTTGTGTACACATGAGGCCATATTATTGTCGATGGATTGACAATAAATTATGATCGATCGCATCGTACAATTATACGAGTTAAACGCGATATATGTTTCTCAGACTTTTTGGCCAATTTATATACACGTTGTCGAATAGATAGTAGTGAATTTGTGTTATCAGTGTCTGGAAAATTATCACGATGGTATCAAAACCAGTGGAGAGAGATAGTTTCTGAGATAACAAGCGATGATGATTTAGAAATCTATCTTCACCCGGATGAGGGAAATGATTCAATTCATGTGTTTGTTGAATCTCAGCCTATATATAATCATTTGATGCCTTCACAGTTCCCTACATCTGAACCTATATACTCCCCTATACACTCCCTTGCGATACCTTCACAACCTATTTGTAATCCTGATATGCCAACTTTTTCATCGCAACCAGAATTCAGTCCTATTGATTTGAATGAACTGTACAATTCCTGTTTGCGAACCACTCCCGAGTTAGTTGCGGTTACACGAGGGATTTCTAATTTGCGATTCGAAGTCGGGACCTCGTATCAAAATCCTGGGCCGTATATTGGGGAATCAAGTGGCGTGAGACATACTCATAATCTTCCTACTAATACTCGTCACTATGATATTAATAATGACGATGATCATTTCGGAGACTCACATGGCCCAAATGTTCCTAGTGACTCTGAACCCTCCGATCCCGAAGATGGTGATGAGAATGATGGTGATCGGAATGATGGTGAAAACGATGATGAAAATATTGAAGCCGTCGATGATGTTGTTCATACATTGACCCCCCATGTACATGTCAACGTATCTTCCTTTGCTGAACAACCTAATCAATTCTACGATCCACCGCCTTTCTATTCCATGCCCTTTCCCGATATCCCAGCCGATTCCATTGATTTTCCTTCGGGAATATGGTCAAAATTTTATGATATCAACAAGGAAACTCTTGAAAAGATGATGATTTTTGAAAGTAAAGAACGTGTCATATCTGGCGTCAGAGATCACTCCATTCGATGGGCCAAACGGGAGTTCAAAGTAATCGAAAGTACGAAAAGGACATGGAGAGTAATCTGTAAACACGACACTGAAGTCAGACCGTGCAGATGGAGGATGAGAGCGTCGAGAACTGGTGATAGTGGACAATGGAAGATAACGATCTATGATGGGGATCATAATTGTCTCATGCGTGGAATGAAAAACAATCATGGCAATTTGAATATCAATTATTGCACCGCAATTCTGTTGACAAGTGTTCGTAATAATCCGGCATGCAAAATTTCAACGGCAAGAGAAGTTGTAACTGCACAAGTTGGATACAAAATATCCTACATAAAGGCATGGTACAGTTTGAAGCGATGTAGGGAAAAAGGTATATGGAACTTGGGAGAGTTCAGTCAGGAAGTTACCAAAGTTACCAAAGTTTAAAGTTTATGTTTTCTTTATAAATCATTTTAACTTGCAGTATGTGATTTTCAATTAGCATATAATATTATATCATATATCGATAGAATTATTATAGATTATATAACAATTAATCAATAGAAAATTAGAACAAATATATCATATTTAAAGTAGCAAATAATGTTTATTATGAACTAATTTACATCCTATGGCTTACACTTTTATAATAAGTATAGACATAGATATAAATATATAATGCTCATAATACGTTGTAGGTGGATCAACCATGCTAGTTTCATCGAGTCCGGTGCACACTCTGTTCGTCTTTTCAGGATAATGTTGGACCAGATGCTCCCAGGACAGTTTATATGGATGCCGTATTCTGTTAACGATCCCGAGTTTGGATTTTTAGGGCAGGATCCTATGATCTATTGCGAGAGTATCTGGACAGCGAGAGTCTCTTTAATATGCTACGCAGTTGTAGAGATGCATCGACCAGAGAGGGTGGTACGACAGTTTGGAATGATACAACCCATACCTGCAGATCCTGAAAACCGCGAAGTTGACTTTCAGAGGCATGTCTCTAGACAACGTAGAGGTACCACCAACCGAGACTGGAGATCGACACATGCTTCTTATATTCTTGAATGGGAGCAGAGATTGAACTATAGTGTTCGTTGTCCGTCTGCAATGATGAACCTACTACAGAGGATGGTTAGTTTGAGTGGTATGACTTGCACACTCGTCGGTTCATATCTCCGATTACCACAGTTGAGAGTACAGGTTTTCAGGTTGGAGGACATATTTCTATGGATACAGTGGTATGAATTTTTTTTTTTTTTTTTATGTCGAAATAATATATTTTATACAACTTATAATATTTTGGTTTATCTCAGAGTCAGCAACTTCGATCATTGATCATTTCTATCGATGATGGAGCCATACATGAGGATGGCTTTCGTTCGTATCTCCCTACGCTCAGAACGGCTCTTTCCGCACTCGAAAATCGACATGGCCCTGCACATATGCCTCAGTCCCAAAGGCCTCAATATCAGACTCAGATGCCTCAGTCACAAATGCCTCAATCACAGACGCAGATACCCGAGTCTCAGATGCCTAGATTTACGGGGATGTACGACGGGGAGGTAGGAACTTCTACGACGCCTATGTGTACTTCTGCAGGATATAATCCTATATTCGATAATGACGAACATCCTACAAACGATCATATGATGGAAACTCAATACATCCCCTCGTATTATGAGCCGAATATGGGTTCTGAAAACCCGATTTTACAACTTCACTTGGGCTCTTTATCATCACCATTTGCAGATCGTCAACTGACACCTATTCCATTCGATACCGACATATTTCAGGCCACAGATCCATCAAGTATTATCGTTGCAGATGAGAGTGGACATCTTGGTAGAGGGCACAAAATTAGAAGGCCTCGAGGATCACTACAAAAAAAGAGCTTTTAAATAACGAAACAATGGTAACAATTGTAATATTTGTCACAATAAGTAGTCTATCGTAACGAATTATAATTTTTGTCACGAAAAATTCATTTTTTTGTAACGCTACTATAAAATCGTTACCAAAAGAAGAATTTCGTTACCAAAAAACTCAATATTTTGCGACAACCAAATATATTGTTACAAAACCTTTATTTTTGTTACAAAAAATATTTTCTAGTGACAAAGATAAACAATCGTTACAAATGTGATAGTATTGTCACAAAAACTTGTTATTCTTTTGTGACAAATTTGAATCTATTACAATAACTTAATGGAATTGCTTTAGATAGTTATTAATTATTTAAATATACGAATACATTTTAGAATGATGTTAATTTTTAGAATGTTACAACTTACAAATCAATTGACTTAATTTTGTTACAAAATGTTTTTTTAGAATGTTGTTAATTTTATGATGATCAATTAATTGTTAATAAAAATAATTCTACTAGAAATATTTTTATTTTATTGTGTTACGATATGTACTTTACTATCATCAACACCAAATTATTTGTTATTACAAAATATATGAACGACATAAAAAATATATTTGAAGTATATTTGTTATTATTAATTATTAGTCTACATTATTTTTTTATTTGAATGTTTCGAATTTAAAACATCAATTTTCATATCACCTAGCAGAATTTTGAATATCAAATATTGATTTTTAAGATTAGCAAAATTCATTTTATCAATTGATATTGTAATAGAAATAATAGTAGTAGAGACACTTTGAGTTGTAAAACAATTAATATATTACTAAAAGAATATTTTTTTACTAAATATAATTAATCTATTATAGAAATGGGCCAAATTGCCCAAAATATATTGCACAAGTAGCAGCCATTGTGTTTTATTTTTTCCTTTTTCTAGAAATGGGCCAAATTACCTATTATCATAATACGTTTTTTGTGTTGAATATTACCAAAATAAAGTGACATTAAGTTGCCATTATTTTTATTTTTTCCATTTTCTTATTTACCCTATCCTCCCTTGAATATTTCTATTCTCTTTAATTCACTTCTCTATCTCTATCTCTCATATCGATATGATACAGTAATGACGGAGCGATGCTCGATTCCTTTCTCTCGCCTCAACCATTGCCATCGTCGGCCTTCGTTTGTGACCTTTGCCGCCGCCGAACCTTCTATTATCTGAGGTAAGGCCTCTCTCTTGTTTTCCCTATGCCCAATCGCATGTTAGGGCTTTTGCTGTTAACAATGACCAGAGTGATGCTCGATTTCTTTCTCTCGCCGTTGTTGGCCTTCGTTTGTGGCATTCGAAGGAGCCGAGCCTTCTATTATCTTAGGTAAGGTCTCTATCTTGTTTTCCCTTTCCCCCATCTTCAATCTCATTTTAGGGCTTTTGCTGAAAATACCCTAAACTGGATTTGGTTCATAAAATTAAATTGAGAAATTTTAAATTTATTAAGGATTCTGAATCAAATGTAATATTTATGTCCTAAGCACATTAGGATTTCTCTATTTCCACAACCTAACAAACGTAGATGGAGTGCTGCAAGTTTGCAAAACTTTTTTGATTATTTGTTTTTCTTTAGTGTTTGTTTTTCTTTGGTGTTTGTTTCTTCTATCGATTACATTTTGTAAGAAATAATTTTTTTTGTTATGAACAAAATCTAGTAAGTAGTATGATCCGGTTTTTTTTTTTTTAATTTCATGATGGGATTGGAATTTATTTTCATGTTATTCTGTATTATGTAAATGAAGTTGAGTTGGTGAATAAGGGTTTATGTTCATGAGAGATATTGATAGTGTTTTTTGATTGATGAGTTAGACAATTTGTCAAGGATTTTTTTACAAAACACGGGAAAAGTTGTGGAATAAGAAATTCAAGAGCTTGAGCTTACCTGATGGTGGGAAATCAGTACGAAATTTCTAGTGATATGGTTATTTGAAATATCTTGACATTTATGTCTCACTCTTGTATTCACATGATTCCATTTACCATGCTAATGGAATGCTATTAATACTTGTACAGCTGGTCGAGTTGTTGCTTTAAGCATTGGTGAAGATGGTTTTTGGGCGAAGTAGCAACAATAGCGGCGATTGGGCAGAGCTGCAACGACGATTGGCCGAAGCCGCAACGGCGATTGGGCGAAGCCGCAACGGCAATTGGACAAAAACCGGAATGGCAATTGGCAAAGCGAAAATTTAAGGTAGAACTAGTAAAAATTGCTTTTGATACCGCACTATTAGATAACTTATTTTGACAATTTGAGCACGGATGATGTGGATTGCTTGTTGTTTATTTCTTGCAGCAGCTTTTACATTCAAAATTGCAACTTACTTTGTTATGTCTTATAGGTAATTAACCCCGCCTTCCACATAATCTTGAATTTTTCCACTTTCTAGATGGTTCTAGAAGTTTCCTAATAGTGTTCATCCTTCCAATATTTTTTCCAGCTTCGAATGGAAATCCGAGAAATGCAAATTCTTTGCATTACATTGATCCTTCAGGTCAAAGAAACGCCTATCACATCTGAGCAATCATGACATTTTGGGGCAAATATATTTTTCAATCTTTATTTGGGGTATATATGTTAAATAATGCAAAAACTCGTTTGTAGGCAATAATGGAGATTGGAGAGGTGATACAATTCTACGATTCAGACATACGTTTTCCTGCTTGGGGATTCGGTGGAAGAATACCCAATGCTTCAGTATCTCACGGTTTCAACTTGAATGGAAGTTTATCCGATTTTGAGGTAATTAGTATATATTAATATATTATTTTAGTTAAGGACCGAGAACCTAAACTTTAGATGCTAAGATGAATGTTATCTAGGCTAGCTAGTTATTGCTTGAAATTCTTATTGCTTCTTTAGTGGTTGCTTAAATATCATCTTCTGAATTCTTATCAGTGCTTTTAAAAATATTTGTTCTATTCTCATGATATTAGTTCTTAATTTCCATGTATGTCATTATGTAATGTGTATCATTAAAATTATTCTGATACAGTCGAATTGTACTTGTGTCTGCAGGTTTTTGGAATAGATACAATGGTGGATATTGCAACATGATGTTGGAGAAAATTACTTTTGTTTTGACCAATCAATTGTCCTTTTTTAAAAAAAAAAAACAATAAAACTTGATGTATCTTATATTTTAAGCTTGTATAAGGATGTAATTATAAATTTATTGTGTTTTATATTTATATTTTAAGCTTGTATAAAGATTTATATAGTATTTGTGAGAATTATATAGGTAGCAAAAATATATATTTTTTTAATAAATTATGAGTATTTGTGAGGATAAAAATTGTCACATAAGGTATTTGTAACGAATATTGTTATTACAAATATATATAAAATATTGCTCCAAATTTGTCTATTGGTGACGAATGTATTTCTTGTAACGATACGAAATAGTTTTAGTGAGGATCAAGTTGTTACCATAAATAGAGATATTGTAACAAACCTTATGTCGTTACCAATACATTTGTAACGAATATAGAAAACTTGTCACCTAAACTTCTAGCGTCGAGCTTTAAAGGACAAACAAAAGGTAACAAATCTGTTGTTACAATAAGTTTTAGCGACAAATTTGGCACATATTGTGACAACTTTTTTCCTTGCGAAAAGTGTCTTTTCTTGTAGTGGATGTGGCACCGGAAGCCATATGCCGCATATTTGACCAAAAATATTGTTGAAACATAAAATTACGTTTTCTTGTGTTTATTCATAATGTTGTTTAATTAATTAAATGTTTTATTATTGTTTTTAGTTATTCAAATAAAAACAAGTTTAATTAAAAAAAAAATTATTAATTAATTTTTTTTTGTAATTTTTAGTTATTATAAAAATTGAATATACAAAATAATATTTTTTTAAAACATTTTTTTAATTAATTATATGATCTCTTTATTATTTTTTAAATATAAAATAAATTAAATAAAGACACTAAAAAACTGCATATACAGACTAGGCTGATGACACGTGTCAATTTCTTATGACACGCAGTTAGGAAACTTGTTTTTAAAAAAATAATTGTCAGCTGCCACGTGTCAACTCCTTATAACACGTAGTTACCAAAATCCCTTCTTCAAAGTGAATAGTACGCTGCCATGTGTCATCTCCTTATGACGCGCATTTCTCAAATGTGTGTTGTTGTAGAAACGAAATTGCCCCAAAAAGTGCCCTATTTCAATAATAAAAAAGTCAAAGGATGGTAAAAAAAAAAATTGCCCGTTTCGATAGAACTTGTTAGAATCTATTTGGATTCTAATAAACAAGGGATGAGTAAAGACTTGTGCAACAAGTCCTTATTTACCGTGAAACACAAAAGGGAAGTCTCCTTGTTTACTTTAATTCTTTAATTTGTCATTAATTGTTTTTTTATTTATTATGGAAGCCTATTAATATGAAATAGTCCAACAAATCTGGGACTTGTGCAAGACGTACCAAGAAGATTTGTTTCCTTGGTGTTTTTATTAATATTATATTAATTGGTGTGGTGATAAGGGAAGTAGTGTTTTGATAAGTAAAGAAGATATTTTATTATACGTAATATGAGAAGTCCTTTCCTGATGTAATTCTTGTCTTTCACGTGAATCAGGTTTCTCGTAAGATGCAATATATAAGCAGCTTCTGGTGTTATTATTCTGACGTCTTTTTTAATCGAGAGAAAATATACAGAGAAAATATTCTTGGCTCTCGTTTTTATTGTTCCATCGTGATACGTGATTTTCATAGAAAATATACCGGCTTCAAGGCTTTGTGGTGAAGACACCAAGATTCAAGGAGTATCACAAGTTTGCTTCTTCTATACAAAAAGAAGATCGGTTCTTCGGGAGAGGGGCTTAAACACATCTCGGGAGGAGATCGATCCGCCGACTGAGGAATTCAGCGTTGAAGGGAGTTCAACTGTGCGGAGCAAGGGACGTGCTGCAATTTGAAGATTTATAATTCAGCGTAGTATACAAGAACGGCGTCATCAAAGAGAGAGTCTTTGTATTTTCATTAAGTCCTAATATTGTATTCGTAAAACTAAAAATTAGTAAATTTCATTTGCAGGTCCCCGTGGATGCAGGGTACAATTGTATCCGAACCACATTAAATTTGTGTCTCGTTTATTTCTGTTTTTACGAACTGCTTCACGAACTATTGCAACACTTCACGTAACAGTAACGAAAAACTGAATCTGACTCAAATAATTTATATCTGCACGAAATAAAATTCTAACAATTGGTATCAGAGTCTGTCACTAGATACACTTAGTGAGATTTTGGGATTTAATTTTTTTGTTTTATTTTCTACAGATATGCTTCATCGTGAAAGAGCGTGTACAATACGACCACCTCTCTTGGATGGATCAAATTACTCGTACTGGAAATCGAAGATGAAGATGTTCATCAAGTCCGTTGATGAACGAGCTTGGCGTGCTATCGTAACTGGTTGGACTCCGCCCATGGCTATAGGAACGGATGGTATGCAAACGGTAAAACCAGAAGAAGCATGGACTAATGAAGAGATATTACTTACCAATTACAACTCAAGGGCGATAAACTCAATTTTCAGTGGCGTTGGTGACAATCAGTTCAAACTGATAGCATCGTGTGAATCAGCAAAAAGGGCATGGGAGATCCTACAAGTGACGTATGAAGGCACATCAACTGTTAAAACATCTAAGCTGCAGATGTTAGCCACAAGATTTGAGAGTCTTCATATGGAGGAGGACGAGACGATTGCTGATTTTCACGCTAAACTGTGTGATATTTCAAATGAATCGTATGCACTAGGTGAACAATACTGGGAAATAAAGTTGGTAAGAAAGGCACTACGTTCATTACCAGAAAGATTCGCTTACAGAGTTGCAGCAATCGAAGAAGTGAGAGATATCAATACGCTAAAGCTAGATGAACTCATGGGTAAACTGCAAACTCAAGAAATGAATTTTAGAGCAAATATTCGAGAAAAGAAAAAGGTGAAGAATGTCGCATTTCAGGCTGAAGCTTCCCATGGCATCTCACAAGGCCAAGCATTTCATGAGTATGACATTGACGTTGAAGACTCCTTAGCAAGTATGTCAAATAACCTCGAAAGGTTGAGTAAAAAATTTGAAAATAAAGGGAGTTCCTCTCAATCAGGTAAGTCTGTTAACCCTAAAAAAATTAAAAAGTTTTCTAATAATGGTTATTCTGATGATGCAAAGTCTAGGAGAATACAATGTCGAGAGTGTGGGGGTTTTGGACATATTCAGGCCGAGTGTGCGAACACATTGAAGAAAAACAGGATATCACTCACCACTGTTTGGAGTGATAGAGATGACAGTGATGAGGATGAGAACAACAAAGACAACCAAACCACTAACTTTGTAGCATTCAGTGGTACTACTTCGATTAGCAGAACCGAGGGAACTGTTGCAACAGTCTGTCCAACAGAACTCAGGTATGATGAAATATCTTCAGATAAGAACAAGAGTCTGACTTCATCATTTAATTTTGCAGGTGACCTTGAGAGCTGTAGTGATGATGAAGAGCCAACCCTGGAAGAGATTAAAAATACATATGAGAAAATGTACCGGAAGTGGCTCGAAGTATCAGAGGTAAATAAGTGCCTTGAAAATGATAAGCATGTTCTCATAGAGGAAAACAAGGTGTTGAAGGTAAGAATTTCTACTCTTGAGGAAATGGCTATTAAAGTAGATAAAGAAAAAAGTAGTTTGCAGGCTCAGTTTACTCAGACTCAAGATGCTATTTCTAAGTTTAATTCTGGTAGAGTTACTTTGAATGAGATTTTGAACAAAAATCAGCCAAACTATGGTCGTCTAAGTATAGGGGGTAACCAGCTATCTACTGGTGCATCGAAACAGAAAGAAAATCCTAAAAGAAAAATCAATTTTGTTAAGCAATCCACTGTTTCACAGACTGTTGCGACAATTGCACCAACACAGCCATTTCAAAGAAAAGTTTTTGTTCCTACCTGTCATTTTTGTCATGTTCCTGGTCATATACGACCCAGGTGTTTTAAGTACTTGAAAATGGTTAAAAGAATAATGGCCCGCTCACCACTTTCCGCTAAAATTGATCACACTTTTGTGTCGTCTCAAAAACCCAAGATAAAGGTTGATTTAGTGAATAAAACTCAACAAAAAATCTGGGTAAAGAAGTCTGATCTTAATTGTTTATCTGCCATTACTTCTTTAAAATCATGTGATGATAGTACTAACTGTTCCATCAGTTCTGGTGACAAAGCTAGTTTGGGGAATAAAAAATTTGGTAATCTGAATTGTGATAATCTGTATGCGAAAAATAAGTTTATGAATCCAATCCAACATTCGAGAACTAAGCTTACTGATATTTGTCATTGTTTCATAAGGGGCTTGGTTGAAAAGAGGGTTGTCTCAATTGATTATGCTGCAACGGAGAATGAATTAACTGATGCTTTTGCAAAAACCCTTGATGCACAGAAATTTGATTCCTTGCGAAAATCGCTGGGAATTTATGTTGTTAAATCTGATGCATTTGCATGAACTGTTGCAACAGTCTGTGTGTCCAGACTTGCAACTTTTAGTGGTAGGACACTTCATATGTTTTTGCATCTCATATAGGACCTGCATTAAGCATACTGCATATGATTGAGACAAATGTGAATTTGATACTTCGTGTATTTCTAAATTTCGTAGGGGTAGAACTTCACCAATTCCCAAAATGATTACTTAAAAGGCTCCAACTTATTTATTTCTCTGAATAGTCTTGCATGGTTGGATGTTTTTATAGGGAAAAGCTGCCTCTTTTAATGAGTGAAAGCTACTCTTGAACTACTGTTACTAATATATATATCTACAACCATTTGGTCAGTGAATAGTTCGAAGCCTTTTTGAGTCGAGCCAGTAAATCACGTGGCCGAAAGCTCGCTACAAGGCTCAATTAGAAAGCCCGGCCAATATAAATTATATATATATGGTCAGTGAATAGTTCGAAGCCTAGTTGTGAATAGTTCGAAGCCTAGTTGAGTCGAGCCAGTAAACCACTTGACCGAACACTTACTACAAAGCTCAATTAGAAAGCCCAGGGGACTACACATTGCACGACCACCATAATCTCGTTCCTTTTCATTGCTCTGTTTTTCATGAGAAAAAGCTACCATTAGACGTGTGTGTACGCTACCTAATAAGAGCATCTTTGTGTTTGACTTGGGATTATTAAGTTTATTGGTTGCATTGGCAGTCGGATTTTTGGGGATTGCGCTTATCGTGAATGTGAAGATAAATCCCATATATTTTGTTTGTCTATGCAGTATCCTATTCACATATGTCTCTTCACTCATGTTTATTTCTCATGTTTACTTCTTGTCTTGCATTAGGCATTATTTAAAAAAAAAAAAAAAAAAAAAAAGAGAGAGAGAGAGAGAGAGACGGGATTTTTGTTTATGTGCCGGTTAAATTTGATTTTTTGTTGCAACCGGATCTATTGGGCCTACTACTCACATTTCCACGTTTCGTATGAAGTTTGGCAAAGTCTGTAGTCTTTGTTATTTAATGTTAGATTTGATATCATTATCCTTTGCTTTTCGCATTGCAATTATCGTGTGGTATTGAGTTGTAAGTTTGTGACTTTGTGTGCACGTTATGTTTGGTGATTCTTCTCACTTACTTTCAAGATTCTCTCTTCGTTTGATCTTTTTGTTAAGTGTTTGAACAGATTGCTCGACACATCAAGATCATTAGTCCATGTTGATTATCTATGCATGGTGATTGCCCATAAAGGGGGAGAAAAGAACAGTAACGATGGCATGAACACAGGGGGAGTTCCACAACTGTTGTTACAGTGCATCTAACAGTTGCCGGAACAGTGCAGGAATGCAGGGGGAATTCAGACAACTTTTGAGACAGTGCATCAGACAGTTGCTGGAATAGTGCAGAAATACTGGATAAATAATGAGCATTGTGAAGAGAAGTTGTTCCTGCTACCGCATATCATTTTATCTCGTGCTTATCTGAATCAATTATCTGATTTAATTTTGGAACTGTGGTTTATTTACAGTCTACACTATCTGCTGAACTGTTTGATAAACTGTTGCAACACTTTATATGTGCAGATGTTATTCTGAATTTGCTAACCCTTGTTCATGCAGGTATCATATATTTAGGGGGAGTAAATATTCTGACCAATCAATGCCAAAGGGGGAGAGTGTTAGAATCTCGGCTTTCACAAGAATATAAAAGGATGAGCTAATGCTGACGTTATTTGCTGAGTCTTTTATCACGTGGATGATATACCACGTCGCCTTCCAAGTCTACCAAGCCAAGTAAGCAAGGGGAAGAGTGAAGTCATTTACAAGAGAAGCTGCCTAAGGATCATTTACAGGGGGAGAAACACATGCAGGGAGAGCTGACTCCATTATGAACCACCTGCCGAAGCCACTACTGTGGGAACAGTTGCTGAAACTGTGGCCCTTACTATTGCAGCAGTTGATGCCACTCTTGTTGCTGAAAGAGATGATTTATGATGAGCTGTTCATTTAATGCTGAGGATGATCTTTAGTTTTATTGCTTCCGTCTATCCTCTGATTGTTTTATTTTCAGGTATTTTATTCAGGGGCAGAAAATTACAAAAATCAATAAATGACAAAGGGGGAGATTGTTAGAATCTATTTGGATTCTAATAAACAAGGGATGAGTAAAGACTTGTGCAACAAGTCCTTATTTACCGTGAAACACAAAAGGGAAGTCTCCTTGTTTACTTTAATTCTTTAATTTGTCATTAATTGTTTTTTTATTTATTATGGAAGCCTATTAATATGAAATAGTCCAACAAATCTGGGACTTGTGCAAGACGTATCAAGAAGATTTGTTTCCTTGGTGTTTTTATTAATATTATATTAATTTGTGTGGTGATAAGGGAAGTAGTGTTTTGATAAGTAAAGAAGATATTTTATTATACGTAATATGAGAAGTCCTTTCCTGATGTAATTCTTGTCTTTCACGTGAATCAGGTTTCTCATAAGATGCAATATATAAGTAGCTTCTGGTGTTATTATTCTGACGTCTTTTTTAATCGAGAGAAAATATACAGAGAAAATATTCTTGGCTCTCGTTTTTATTGTTCCATCGTGATACGTGATTTTCATAGAAAATATACCGGCTTCAAGGCTTTGTGGTGAAGACACCAAGATTCAAGGAGTATCACAAGTTTGCTTCTTCTATACAAAAAGAAGATTGGTTCTTCGGGAGAGGGGCTTAAACACATCTCGGGAGGAGATCGATCCGCCGACTGAGGAATTCAGTGTTGAAGGGAGTTCAACTGTGCGGAGCAAGGGACGTGCTGCTATTTGAAGATTTATAATTCAGCGTAGTATACAAGAACGGCGTCATCAAAGAGAGAGTCTTTGTATTTTCATTAAGTCCTAATATTGTATTCGTAAAACTAAAAATTAGTAAATTTCATTTGCAGGTCCCCGTGGATGTAGGGTACAATTGTATCCGAACCACATTAAATTTGTGTCTCGTTTATTTCTGTTGTTACGAACTGCTTCACGAACTGTTGCAACACTTCACGCAACAGTAACGAAAAACTGAATCTGACTCAAATAATTTATATATGCACGAAATAAAATTCTAACAGAACTCATTTCCAAAAGCTAGCTCAAAGAAAGACCGACTGTTCATTTCATATATAAATGTGCATAAATAAGTCAGCGTGTTACAAAATTTCGATATGCGACAAACAACAACCTTACAAATTATAGTAGTTTCTTACTTCCTCCGTTCCTAAATAGGTGTCGTTTTTCACCTTGGCACAAATCTTAAGAATCTCAATAAATATGTCTTGATTTTAGGAAAATATATATTGATGGACCAAAATACCCTTGTTTATTAATTAATGCGGAAAGAGTGATGCAGAGTTAATAAGAGTAAAATTGAAAAATAAGCAATTAATGCAGCATTGGAATTGTAAAGTGACAGATATTATGGAACAAATAAATTCTTAAAAGAAACGGATATTATAGAACAGATGGAAGTATATTTTTTTTAATGGATTGACCAATAAATTGAACAATTCTAAATAACGGTCATTAATTTCTGTCATAATGGCATGACATGTAAAAAATTAATCAACTAATAAATCACTAAAAAAGAGAAAGAAAAAAAAAAAAGAATTACATAATAATTAACAAGACGTGTAATAATAATAATACAAGTTACAACCCAGCAATAAATGGGACCCCAGTGGAAGGCAACCACGCCCGACCGGCAATAAGACTCCCTACAGTGAACCGGTTCGCCACGTTCGGGCTCGTAATAATATGGTAACCGGGCCATTTGACCCGGTTCCTCGACGACCCGCCCGGCCCGAAATTCTTGTACTCCCCATAATAAAGTGTACTCAACGCGAAATCCGAATCCTCCCACCTCGACCACCCCTCGGGGACCACAAACCCGTCGATGAAGCTCTTCATGATCACGGTCCGAGAGTACTGCTGCCACGGTCGGCCCAAATACGTCTTGAACGAGGCGACGACAAGTTTCAGATCCGGGGCGGGCATTATCCGGGAGTTGTGGATGGATATACCCGTGTTCTGAAACGGGTCGCCCCGGCCCTGGGCGGTGACCACGTTGGCCTGGCCCACCAAGGGCTTCCGGACGTAGATTATGCAGTTCTGGAACACGACCGCCGCGTTGCCGAAGATGAAGTCGATTGTTCCGTAGATGTAGCATGATTTGTAGAACTGGCGCTGCGCGTGGACGAAGAGTGTGTCTTGGTAGCCCTCGAAAGCGCATGCGTAGAATACGGATAGGTCGGAGGCGGAGCGGAGAGCCACCGCCTGGCCCTTCTGTGGGCCCGCGGTGTTCCGGAATGTGATTCCTCGCGCTATGAATCCGATGCCGTCGATTCCTGAAAAAATTAATGTCAAATATAATTCGACTTTTTTTCGCCTTGATGGAAATTACTTAGGGAAGGGCTAATTAAATAAAGTGCTAAAACAATTTAGACTTAAGCAACTGGTTGATTAAGAATTTTGAATCACAAGTCACAACATGTTAATTAATTAGCCATTAAGCTAGATATGTTGTCCATGCAATTGATTGATTATATATATAGCTTCTCGATCAATCTTTCTTTTTTTAACAACAGAATGTGCAGTCACTTATATTTGTACTAGGTAAACTCTGTTAATGTAAAATAAGTTAATAACCCAACCCACAAATTGTACTTGAAAAATCATATGCGACGAGTTCGAACCAGATAAATGGGTTCTTAACTACCACAAAAAATAGTTACATTTAATCACTTTTCAAAGTCAAATGTACCGATTGGTCAAAGTAATAACATTATCCCGTTCATTCTGCAACATGCATGCTAATTGAAAAAAAAAGTACAAAAAGATACTGAAATTAATAAAATGCAAACAACAATAAAATCTTAATTAAAAAAAAAAAAATCGAAACTATATTGTCTAATTAGAAAAACCACGAGCTAATAATTAATTAATTAAAGCGGGGCAAAGAGAGTTTACCAAATGTTGCAGAACTGTAAGTAGTGAAACCCGCCGCCACGCTCCGGCTGCCGGTGATGACGGTGTACCTCAACCCATCTCCGACAAGCATCACCTTATTCATCGTCCTGCTCACCAGAATATTCTCCCTGTACACCCCTCTCTTCACGTACACCACCACCCTCCCGTTCCCCACCCTCCTCGCCGTCGCGTAGTCAATCGCCGCCTGCACCGACCTAAAACTCCCGGCAGACCCATCCTGAGAAACTACCACGTTCGCCTTCGCCGCCAGCGCCATGTCCTGCAACAGCTTCCTATCCCCGCCGGAAACCCACCCCGGAAACCCCCGACGACCACCCCCCGCCGCCGCCGACGAGTTTCCGCCGCCGTCGAGGAGGAGAGCTCCGTTTGTGGCCAAGCAGTTGCTTATAAGCTCGGAAACATTCCCCGATAGAATCGGGGAAGTAAACTTAGTCACGTTCAGGTCACGTGACCCGGATCGGCAGATCTCGATATTCGTCAGGGCGGTGCTCAGCCACGTCTGGGCGTCGAAAACCGTAAAAGTGGCGTTTGTTTGGATGTTGTTCAACGTGCTGGTGAGCTGGAGGATTGTGTTGTCCATCAGCTTGCTGCAGTCTCTATATACAATAGCTTTTCTTTTGCTCCGGCAGCCCGACCCGCTTATATTGGCCCGGGTTTGGGCGTCTATGGCCCGCTCCAGCGAGGCAACTATAGTCATGGTCCGGAAATCTTCCCGGGTTTTCGGGTCGAACCGGGCCATGAAGTAGTTGCAGGGCTCTGGGTGGGGTGTCGTGCTGCACCACCACCCGATGCCCTTTTTGGTAATTTCGTCATCCGCGTGTACTTGTTTACTGAAAATAATTACGAAAAGAACGACGAAGACGACGACGAAGGAGGAGGACTTAGGGTTATAATTAGTTATTATCATGGTCATGGTTTTATTTATTTTTGGAGAGTTTAATGTGTATGGACCATGATAAAAGGGAAAGTAGGGGTTTGAATTTGTGTGAGGGTATTTCTTCTTATAGAAGTAAATATTTTTGAGAGTTGAGATTGTTTGAAATGGAGGGAAATTAAATGAATAGAAGAATTAATTAATTAGTTTGATGAAAGTTGAAATTTGAAGTATCTTTAAAATGACGAGATCCTTGTTTCATGGATCACTGCCATTACACTCAAGGTGCATGGGGTTTAATTTAATTTAATTTGCCGTATCATCGTGTCAAGAGCCATTGATTAGAACATGTTGAAGATTGCATTAAATTTAATTTGTTTTAATTTGTTGGAAAAGGGAAGCATCTTATATAAATAAATGGATATTGCATGCTATTTTAATCATTTAAGGATCATCAAACTTATAATTTTCAGAAATTACATTTTTTTTTTCTTCTAATTTTGTTTGAGTAAACTACAAAAAGTACCCCTATGTAATCTCCAAATAGCAAAAACCCTCCTGTGATAAATAAACTAGCAAACCCTCCTGTTTACTCAATTTTGTTTTATCTTAATTGAAGTAATATAATGTCCATGTCCTCATTTATGGGATATGACATTTTATCACTTTTAATTAATTAACTTAAAAATAATTAAATCACAAAAATATTTAGTGATTTCCTATATGTTTTGCTATAATTTATTCATATTTATTAATTTTCTTAATACGTGCGCAATACATAAAATAGAATGGAGGGAGTAATTGTTTAGAAAGAAAACTAGTGCAACTTCAAGTAATTGAATTGCTTAACGATAATTGCGTGACGGCCGATTAAAGTGTGAATATATATATATATAATTTAAACAACGAGTAGAGCTGTATTAAAGGTGTGATTAAGTAACATAAAAACATGAAAATTAAGAAGCAATTAATTAGTTGTTGAATGTGATTCCGTACATCATTGGATATGACGTGTTTGGATTGATTAATTCTGAAGCAGTAGTACACATAGGAAATCTGGGCTTCAAGTTATTAGGAGCCTAATATTCCACCCTATATATATATATTTAATTAATTAGTTATTAAACAAAACAAGATGTCTGAACACAAGCATTTAATTTGCAGGTTTAGCCATGTGCTTATGAGTTCTTATTACGCTAATTAATCCTCCTTTTTTTAATTAGAGGAACCCTCAATTTAGTTTTTTATACTTTTTTTTTTTTAATTTATGGGTCAACAACCATTAGTTAATATATGAACTACATTCCGATTTTTTCCGAGTGGTGTTTGGTTTTGATTTCTTGAATATATACTTCTCATTTTAGTGAGATTCCAAAGAGTTTCCTACAGAATTCGCTAAATGTGCATATGGTGTCATTTCATCAGCAATGATGATAACTCTTTTTTTGATTTTGATAAAAGATTTTTGCTCCTTCATTTTACAAAAATACCCCTGTGGGAGGCCATCAG